ACAAGTACTCCACTGGATATTGGTAGTCCAAAACTCCAGATCCAGATCCAGATGGTAAATGGAAAGCATGTTCAGCGTGACAGTGTCTTATACAGCACTACTTCAGTAATCAATTGAAAATTACAATAAGCATAACTTTGCATGGTAGACTGAAGAAAACCAAGAACCATCCATCTGCCATCATCTGGTCTACATATTGCTCGGTAAATGTGTTTTGAACCTCAATAAATGATGTTTAGTGTGCCATCAAATTTATAACCAGTCATTCAGAAGTGAACACCTTATAGGCAGCAAATGGGTTGATCATTCATTGGAAATGACTGAGGCCTCTTGGATTTCGATTCAATAAGAATGTTGCACTGACAAGCTATCAAGGTGATAGTTAGATAGTGAAAAATAAGCATCTTGCCAAGTATGATTATTCATGCAAGCTATGTTCTTTAGGCCTATTTCTAATACAACCCCTCGATAGAAAGGTAGGTCATAGGTATTGCAAGCACACTCACAGGTAATTTCTAATACAACCCCTCGATAGAAAGGTAGGTCATAGGTATTGCAAGCACACTCACAGGTAACAGATCAAAAGAAGAAGAAAAAACAGCAAAGACAATGGATGAACATATATCAAACATTACAGATATGTGGCCAAACAGACCAAGGCACATTGTTCTAAGATATAATACAGAAGTACAATTCTACAAAAGAAGAGAATGCCTGGCCTCCTACTTGTGATAAACCTAGCTCCTAAATGAATTTGAAAAGCTCCTGGTTAGGCTTTTAAACCTCAAGCATCTAAACAGCTTCCAGCATTCTAACTTGTCTGAGAACCTGCTCTGAAACTGTAATTCTCCCTTATCCCAAGGAGCTCAAGATGAGCTCTGAGTTATTAGCTTTACAGTGGAGCGGTCCAGGAACAGCTACTCTGTTAAGTCTTGGAAGTACAATGCAGGGATCTCGACAGGAGGAAGCAACATCGATACACATTTGAACTGTTCCAAATGATTAGAGAATTAGACCAAACAATACAAGCATAACAACACCAAAGGAATATTACATAACTGTTGGAGTTGAGCATACCCTGTGTTGCTTATACTTGTCTCGAATTGCTGGTAAAGATGGACCCTTTCTACTGAGCTGCAAATCATGTATGGCTATAATGCAATCCTTCAGCTCTGATGCCTTGTAGCCTGTCAGTTTATGCATTTCCTTGCCCTGCAACCACATAATCACAGGATAGCTTTAGCTTTGAGAACTTGAAATATCAAAAGCAACATTTCAAGCTTCCACGTTCTACTTCTCCACTCTTACCCACGGATTAGTGTCTGGTCCAATGGTCAGCCTAGCAAGAAAAAGTGATGAAGCAGCAACCACTGATGGCAAGAACCAGAGACAGCTGTAGTCCAGAAGACTCAGCTCAGCAAGATAGCTACCCATGAACTCCAGTAATAAGCTGGAGCGCTGTGACAAGCATGCAAGAATAACTTCAGGCACCCACACACATAAGCAGTTGAGGAAGAATTAAATCAAATGGATCCAATATGGAGAATTTAAAGGATTGGTAGTAGTCACCTTCTTGTCTTCTGGGCCAGATCTTGTAAACCGCCTGAAATTAGCAAAACAGGGGGGAAATGCACAAAGATTCAGTTAGACACAGAATGAAAATAGTCAGAGATTATGTACTATTGGGTCAGTGACAGTATGCCACCTGAGGAAGGTCTTGATGGTCGGACTGCCTATCTCGAAGTTGAGGAGCTTGAGTATGTCGCTCTCCATGGTGAGAAGCTCCTGCCTGGTGTAGGTGTTGTCCGTGATGTAGCAGAAGTCCTCCACATGCGGGGGACTGATCTCCTCGTACTTCCTGCAACCACCCCAAAGCCAACCCAACTCAATCTCAAAATCTTTTCCAACCCTTCAACGCATTGGAGCAGGAGGCTGCGCTTACGAAGCAATGAGCATTGCGGCGACGCCAAGGAGCTGCAGCTTGTTGCGCCCGAGAGGGTTGGCAGAGAGGAAGCGGTCGACATAGGAGACGGTGAGGTAAAGCGTGTCGGCAACGAGCTTGTACTCCTCGGCGACCTCGACGAGCCAGTCGATTAGGATAGCCCGCATGTTCGCCGTCACGTCCGTCTGCACCGCCTCGATATAGTCAGCCGCTGGCCGGCGCGGCGCCTCCACCTGCATCCGCCATTCGGACGAACCAATGATTAGACATCAGACAAGTGGTTCCCACCCAAACCCAGCGCCGACGGATCGAGGCATCCGACGGCCAGAAATGGAGATCAGGAATCGGGACTGCCGTACCTCCATAGTGCGGAGGTAGGTGTAGATGTCGGAGGCGTAGGACCCGCTGAGCTGGGTTTCGCCGCCGCCGCCGCCGCTGACCTCCTCCCTGGCGAGGGTCGGCGAGGTGGACGCGCACCTGCTCACGTCCCCGTGCTCCTCCTCCCCCTCGGCCGCAGCCGCGGGCTTGGCTGGCTTCGACGGCTGGCGGAGGACGATCCCCGCGTTGGAGACGATGGGGAGCTCGCTGAGCGCCACCCGCTTCCGCTTGGCGCCGCCGGAGGGGCCCGCGGAGCAGGTGGCGGCGCGCTTGGCCGCGGCACGGGTGAGCCGGGGGCCCGCCGCCGCGGCGGGGGCCGCGTTCTCCTTGTCGGCCATGGTCGGCAGGCTCGTGCTCACCGGGGCGGCGGGATAGGGTTTGGGATTCGGTGCGCGGCGAGGGAAGATGGGAGGCGGCGGCGGTTGCGTTATGTAGAGAGAATTGGAGGAATGGGAGGGAAGATGGCCGCCAAAACACACGAATTCGAAGAGGAGGAGGGAGAAGAAGCCCGCGCTGCGCTGCGCTGGGTTTCGCCTGCTAGCTCTGGTCTGGTTTCGCTTGCTAGGATTGGGGAATTTTGGATGGAGTGGGGCGCACGTGCTGGCGAGGGGTGGGCGGTAAAAGTTTTAAAATAATACGGAAATCCCGCGGCGCCTGCCTGCCCGCCAGCTCCCCTCCGAAATCGTACTGGGCCTTCCGCGTTCCAGCGCGAAACAGCACACTCCAGATCGGGTTTTCTTTTTTCTTGGCCCAACATTTTTTTGGCCACGAAATTGTATTATAATACTGTTCTTTTTCTTTTTGCGAGAGACCGTGAGTTTTTTATTCCGCAAAATGACAGGTTTTTTTTTTGCGAGGGCAAAATGACAGGGTTACATATTCTGCTGGCAATTATAAACACATTAACGTGTGGGAGAAGGGCGGTCAAACAGCATGGCCACATGGCGCCATGTGGTGCATGCTGATTGGCCATGGCGAGAAACTTTTTGATTTTTTTGAAGATTATTTTTGAAAGATAAAAGTGAGACTTCTTTCTTTTAAAAAAAATTGGAGATTATATTTTAAAGATGGAAGTGAAACTTTTTTTCTTTTTTCTTTGAGAATTTTTTTAGGCTTTTTTTATATTTTTGAGATGGATGTGATGTCCACGTGTCGTGAGAAATTTATTTTTTTAAGATGAAGATCAGTGTAAAACAGTTTCTTACTGAACTGAAAGCAGAGGTGGAAAATACGAACTTGGTTGATCATGCATCAGTCGATTAGGGAAATGAATATATTGTTCAAATATTGTGCTTATGAAGGTGAACTAGCTATAAGTTGTTTTCACGTAGCTATCATATTGTGGTGTTAAAATATATTTATGTGTCTGATATGAAATTGGCAAAAAAATTGTTTGATATGAAATGTAAATTTGCTTAATACTGAAACTATTAATAGTAAACTAATAAACATGTTAAATGGTCATGAAACTTTATAAACTGTTATAGCAGTAAAAGTGTGCGTGATGGATAACCCAATGTCAAACGGTTTTCTTAATTGAATCGTGTGTGATATACTTGAATAAAACAAACGGGTAATGGAAGTAGAGCGTGTGTGATTGTTACACCTATCACACACGAGGGTATACAGAAAATTGTGTGTGAAGTAGATATGAATGGAAACGTTTGTCTGGGATTCACTGTGTGGCATGTGAAGGCGAACGGAAACGTTTGTCTAGGATTCACTGTGTGGGATATCCATACGAACGGAAACATTTGTCAGGGATTCACTGTGTGGGTGTACATACGAACGAAAACGTTTGTATGGGATTCACTATGTGGCATGTACTTACGAATGGAAACGATTGGGAATGTATAATTGTATGCGATGGCTAGCCCGATTGCAGACGAGCTCATTTTTCTCAATGTGTGTGACCGGAGGACCTATCCCGAATAGTTTCTGGTCGTGTGGGAAGGACCCCTCCCCCCATCGCAGACACAGGCAAGGCGATAATTTAAAACTCCGTAGCGGAAAGGGGTTAAAAAACGTTTGTATAACAACTCGTTGTACCAGTGGTTGTTGGGTCTCAGCATCTTGAGCTTCAGGTAAGCGCAGTGCGGCACCGCATTAAAGCGGGCGAACCCAGTACGCCCGAGCAACGCATGGTAGCCACTACGGAAGAGGGCTATATCAAAGATCAAGTCCTCGCTTCAGAAGTTATCGGGGGAGCCGAAAACAACTTCCGTTGTTATGGGTCTAGTGCGTTGGGCCTCTACGTCGGGTATGACACCCAGATACGTCCATTTTGCATCATGCTTTTATATCAATATTTATTGCATTATGGGTTGTTGCTACACATTATGTCACAATACTTATGCATTTTCTCTCTTATTTTATAAGGTTTAAACGAAGAGGGAGAATGCCGGCAGCTGGAATTCTGGGCTGAAAAAGGAGCAAACATTAGAGACCTATTCTGCACAACTCCAAAAGTCCTGAAACTCCACGAAAGTCAGTTTTGAAATATATTAAAAATATTAGGCGAAAAAAGCACCAGAGGGGGGCCACCCACCAGCCACAAGGGTGGAGGGCGCGCCCTACCCCCCTAGGCGCGCCCCCTGCCTCGTGGGCCACCTGGTAGGCCCGCGATGCCCATGTTCTGATACATGGTGCCTTTTGCCCTAGAAAAATCAAAAGGAAGCTTTTGGGACGAAGCGCCACCGTCTCGAGGCGGAACTTGGGCAGGACCAATCTAGGGCTCCGGCGGAGCTGTTCTGCCGGGGAAACATCCCTCCGGGAAGGGGAAATCATCATCACCATCGATCCTCGCATCGAGAGGGGGTCAATCTCCATCAACATCTTCACCAGCACCATCTCCTCATAAACCCTAGTTCATCTCTTGTATCCGATCGTTGTCTCAAAACCTCGGATTGGTACATGTGGGTTACTAGTAGTGTTGATTACTCCTTATAGTTGATGCTAGTTGGTTTATTCGGTGGAAGATCATATGTTCAGATCCTTAATGCTATTCAATACCCCTTTGATTATGAACATGAATATGATTTGTGAGTAGTTACGTTTGTTCCTGAGGACATGGGAGAAGTCTTGTTATAAGTAATCGTGTGAATTTGGTATTCGTTTGATGTTTTGATGAGATGTATGTTGTCTTTTCTCTAGTGGTGTTATGTGAACATCGACTACATGACACTTCACCATGATTCGGGCCTAGGGGGGAGGCATTGGGAAGTAATAAGTAGATAATGGGTTGCTAGAGTGACAAAAGCTTAAACTCTAGTTTATGCATTGCTTCATAAGGGGCTGACTTGGATCCATTTGTTTCATGCTATGGTTAGGTTTACCTTAATTCTTCTTTCGTAGTTGCGGATGCTTGCGAGAGGGGTTAAAAATAAGTGGGATGTTTGTCCAATGAAGGGTAGTACCCAAGCACCGGTCCACCCACATATCAAATTATCAAAATAACGAACGTGAATCATATGAGCATGATGAAATCTAGCTTGACAGTAATTGTCATGTGTCCTCGGGAGCGCTTTGCTTTATATAAGAGTTTGTCCAGGCTTGTCCTTTGCTACAAAAAGGATTGGGCCACCTTGCTGCACCTTGGTTACTTTGTTACTTGTTACCCATTACGAATTATCTTATCACAAAACTACATGTTACCGATAATTTCAGTGCTTGCAGAGAATACCTTGCTGAAAACTGCTTGTCATTTCCTTCTGCTCCTCGTTGGGTTTGACGCTCTTACTTATCGAAAGGACTAAGATAGATCCCCTATACTTGTGGGTCATCAAGACTCTTTTCTGGCGACATTGCCGGGGAGTGAAGCGCCTTTGGTAGGTGGAATTTGGTAAGGAAACATTTATATAGTGTGCTGAAATTTACTGTCACTTGTTACTATGGAAAATAATCCTTTGAGGGGCTTGTTCGGGTATTATTGAGTTGCTCCTCAACCTACTGAACCTACTGAAAATATTTACTTTGAAATTCCTTCGGGTATGATAGAGAAACTGCTAGCTAATCCCTATACAGGAGATGGAACATTACATCCCGATATGCACCTAATCTATGTGGATGAAGTTTGTGGATTATTTAAGCTTGCAGGTATGCACGAGGATGTTATCAAGAAGAAGGTATTCCCTTTTTCTTTGAAGGGAAAGGCATTGACATGGTTTAGGCTATGTGATGATATTGGATTATGGAACTACAACTGATTGAAATTGGAATTTCATCATAAGTTTTTATCCTATCACTACAAAAAAAATACATATCTGTGACATTTTGGGCAGAACGAACAAAATTTCTGTCATACTTATGACACTTCCATGACTATAATTGTGACAAAACTCGGTATCATATTAGATGTGGTGGGCTCCTACTTCTATGACAAAAAATCATGACAGAAAATGGGCTTTTTGTCCTGGGCGGGCCGGAGACGCACTTGCATGACATTCTTTGGGTCGTCCATAACGGAAAAAACCGTGGTAGAAGCGAGGGCGAGGAAAATATCGGGGAGTTCCCGGTTACGGTGGGTGGTCAGGGGGCCGAGCGATGCACGTTTCTCTCGTACCGTGTGCGCGTGGGTGCGAGGCGTTGGGCTCTAGCGGAACCCGAGCGAGGTGTCGCCTACCTGAACCTGAGCGATTGCACTGCAGGCTACGCGTTGCTGAACCCAAGCGATCGAGCGATTCCTTCGCTACTGCTGCTAACTGAAGCCGATTGATGCTGCCTCTCGATGAACAGTGAGCATTGTTGGGGGGTTTGGATGAACAGTGAGCGTTGCTGGGGGGTTTGGATGAACAGTTCCCGATGGGGGTGGATGAACAGGACCCCGTGGTGTTGCCTCTGGATGAACATGACCCCGATAGATCGAGCCGGTTGGGGCTGGATGAATAGGACCCCGTGGAGGGCTGGATGAACAGGAGGACCCCGTGGAGGGTTGGATGAACAGGAAGACCCCGTGGAGGGCTGGATGAACAGTAGACGGTGGAGTGGTGGATGAACAGTAGCCCGTGGAGGGGTGGTTGAACAGGAGCTCATGAAGAGGGGTGGTTGAACAGTATCCGGTGGAGTAGCATGCGGTGGAGGTTGGATGAACAGGAGCACGTGGATGAACAGTCGCGGGTGGAGGCTGGAGGAGGTCGACGGTGGATGAACAATAGGCCGTGGAGGCTGGAGGAGGTCGACGGTGGATATGAACAGTATACCGTGGAGTCCTATTTTGCGGTACGCCACACCCCTCCCGATGAACAGGACCCCCATTTCGACCGTAGCGCTCCAACACAAGTCCGTTTCCTCCGTTTTGCGGTACGCCACACCCCTCCCGATCAATAGGATCCCGTTTCGA